ACTTTTGACTCATGTAATCTCAAAATGTACAGTAACTATCAATTTGGCTCAGATGAAACTGTTAAGACTTCTTTGAAGTATCATCTTTGGATTAAGAGCCACTATGGAACATTTTGAACCTCAGTGGTTTTAGTCTAATACAGGTAATTTTGTATAAGTTGCTAAAATGAAAGATACAGTTCAACCTTATCTACAGAGTCCTCTGGTAAAAGCAAACTGAGTTAAAGATACTACCTCTATGTATTTCTTTGTTCCACATATTCATGCCAGAAGTCCCTAAGAGAAAGTCACTATAGTTCTAATAAAGTTAGTAACTGACATCCCTAAAGATATGAATCATTACAACTACTCTTTTGGACTATTCTGACCAAAAACCAATAGTCATCTCCCCTTTATCTACGTAGTTCACGTGATGCGTTGTAAAAAATTTATTACTTGATAGTATCTATCTGATTGTACTTGCTGACACATCAGGACAACACGGCTCCAAATGAGAGCTTATCTTCAAGGTAATCTCGTCTGATCTGGAGCCCTGTCACACGGCTGCGGTCTCCTAAGCGATCCCCAGTAACCACCAAAAGGGGGAGAAAAGGGCACGTACCAACACAAAACGAACGTGCACTGCACCTGCATTTACCATGAGTGGGAACTGATCGCAGGGAGGGTCACTGAACGCAGCCGGCTGTCGCCACCACACCAGCACCACCACCAAGGAAAAACCCAAGTTCTTTCCTAGCCACAATGTACTTGGAAGGTACCACGCTCTGGAAGCTTGCTCTCTACAGCTACAGTTACCTACAAGATTTGCACGGTAGTTTAGTCAAGCTAGGCTTAGAAGGCAGCAGGATGAACGTGGGACAAACCCAGGACTCGTGGCTTTCAGGAACTTGCCCTGCTGCTGCCGTACAAATGGGAGCTCTGCACAGAGGCTGGTGGCAGCAGGCTGCTCACGCCAGCTGGACAACTTGCCGACACCAGCCCCAGAGCCTGCAGCCTCCCGTGCTCTGGGCCGACTTGTGCCCGTTACAGCATCAGCCCCCCTTCTGGCACACCTCTTCTGCAGCGGCCCACGACTGCGATCCAGCAGGCAGCACTCCCTCCACCGCAGCGATCACAGGCAGCTTCGCTCCACCTCAGACCCGAGAAACAACGGTTTTCTGTACGCAATGCTGATTTAGGCTTCCTCGGAGAAACGCCGCACAGAGCTTGCCTCTAACTCAGCTTCCTGAAGTCAATAAAGAACAGTATGTAACACCATGTTTTAACTTGTTCTGCCTGTAGGAGTTCTGCTAAGAGCTGCTCTGCTTCCTCCCAAACAAATCATGTTATAAAACAATAAACTAGTTTTTAAGTGCTATTTGCTATAGAGAAGAAAGAGGTTTACAAGATCTACAGAGACATAAGGAACATTGAAAATGGAAAGTTCTTTAAAAAAGGGAGATTATACACAAATTATTTGCCTTTCTCAACTTTACTCACATTATTAACTTATTAAGCATAGGCTACTGGTGTGTAGCCTATGGATAACAAGGAAGGAAAGGACGAACTTTTAACCACAAATATTATCTACTTAATAAAAACCTACTATTCAGTCTTGCAAGACAATGTATTTCATTGTATTAATTGAGAATCTAACAGGAATTAGAGGTGTTCAGAATTTTGCAGAACTTTGTGTTCTATTTACTTAACACAAAAGATTTCTTCACGTTGGTAAAGAGTCATTTAAAAAAATGACCACATTTTGAAGCACAGGGACATACGATTTTTCCACTTGCCCCTGTTTCTGCCTTACACTGTTTAAAGAAAAACTTAGTTTTAAGTACTGTTGCAAGGAGGAACAAAGACATTACGAGATTCTGCCTTTCCCTTGTTTTTGCTTTATTTTAAGGAATCAGTGTGGTGAAACAGAGTGACGGCAGTCCAGAGACATGTAAGGGTCTCAGATAAGGCCAGCACTGTGTCTAGTCTAAATTGCTCCCATATCCATGGCCAACCTAGTTTTATCAAATGTGTAACTGAAGTTGCCTCCCAAGAAAATATTTCTAACTCGCTGTGTAGATGCTGAATTACATTATGTCTGTTCAACACACAAGCTTAGATGCAGCTTACATATTAAAAAGTTTATATTTTTTGTTGGAATAATTTTCTATGCACCATGCTGTTTCCAGATTTTTAATGTTAATACTGGAAAAAACACAAACATTTTTTTAGTCTGCTGTAAAAAACCCACATTTTTAAAACTTCTGAAATGTTCATTTCCAAATCCATTAAAACATTACATACAAGAGCCTTTTAATAACTGTACCTTGATAGCAGTCCTATTCCCTTCACCTTCTCCCTCTAGTTTGGGATATTCATAGCATTTTCCTTAATATATTGCAGAGTTTACTCCATGATAAGCATGACGAAAAAACACAGGCTAGCAATGGGTGCTGAGCAAGAGGTTAACTTTCAGCTTCATTAAGACAATTCCCCATTCAGAAATACAGATATGTGCTTTGGACGTCTCAAAAGAAAATTTTATAGGGCATTCCAATAAACTGCAATACAGCTTTTGATTTTGAAACAGACAGTTTCTACTGAAAATGCCAACACAATGTCTTATTTCCAACATGGAACACATTAAAAAAAACTCCCCCCGCCCTCCAGAAGACACTGCAGTTTCACAGACTCCTTTTCATGCATCTTTCCTTCTGCAATGTCAACATCCCAACGCTTACTGAAGCAAACACAGAGCTGCAGAGCTAACAAAAGGCCAAACTCCCCACTCGGCCTGCCAGGGGAACTCCTTCCACTGCACGGGTTACTCAGAGTTCAGCGTGCATGGAATAAACACAGCGTACTTTATTATGCGTCCTGCTTTCCAGGCCGCACTCCCCAGCCCTCCAGCATTAAAGCACTAGTGCTGTATTTTAAATACAGATTATGTCGCTTGCCCCAGGTCATATGAGACAGGATTAACAGCCAGATATCCCAGCTCACTGCTGTCTGTTAAAACAATAGATGCCCCTCCATCTTCCAGACACAACAGCTTCTCCAGCACATTGCCCTGCATCTCCCCGATTTTTGTGTAGTGTATTAACCTCCACCTATTGCACTTGTAAAGCCTGCTGCTGTACTGGTGCGCATGAACCCCACGCACGGGTAACTTCTGCTGTTCCAAAGCATTCCTTCGGCTGCAGTTCCTGAATCTCTGTGAAACGGAACATTAGATTTAGATACCTTTTTTTTTTTAAAGGCACATACATTTTGCAGTTGACTTTTTCTTATATTTTAAACTCATGTTTACTAGTTCCCTCCCATCTCCTCGTTCTCCAGGCTTTTCCTCTACTCTCTTCTGCAGCTGGCCTGACGAGCAGTCAGATGGGACAGACAGCTCTCTGGTGGCGGTGATAAGCCATTTGCTACCCCAGTGAGCCACGCAAACACAGATTTCATCCTAAAGAACCTCCAAAGCAGACATCAGAAACCAGTATCTGAGTGAATTTTTCTCACACCAGCACAGTGTTTATAATGTGCCACACCAAAAATACTGATGCAGGTTAATTGTGCAAGAACAGAAAGAGTTCGAAAGCGTGCGATGCAGAGAAGGATGCATTTCTTTTCCTGAAGTACGAGAAAACCCAGTTTTCTTTGCTTTACTTTTTGGGGCTTCAGCCATGCTTTGATGTGTGTGACATACAGTCACATCTCACCATATATTTTACAACAGTCTGAAATTGTTTAGATTTCCTTAGATACATTTAACAGGAGAAATAAATATACTCTTGTAGCAGAAATAACACGTACACCTCACATGCTGTTTCTTCACCATCTCCAAAACAAGCTGATCTTTGCATCTGCTTGCTCTAATAACTGCTCTTGTTACACCTAGCCCACGGTGTTCCTCTTCAGTGGCTTTATTTATTGCTGTTATTAACGAAGCAACACTGATGTAAAACTGGGGAAATGAGACTAGGTGGTTGACAGCTGGGATTTTATCTTAAACTCTGGAATAAGCCACATTTCTCAAAGCTTCCTCTGGAATCAGAACGAAAAATCTGGAAAACACTTCAAAATCTGAACTTCCACGTGGAAGTTTCTTTACCCCACCATACCAAACAACAGCTGTTTTCCTCCTAAATGAATAGCAAGCAGCAGGGAGCAAAAAACCTAAAGAGTGGCAATTGTTTAGTTTTTTAAACTTCGTTCTTAACCCAAACTTGCATTTTTGAACAGGTCGGTTTGGTAGCACACACAGATCACTCACAACTCTCAGGATGCTTCAAAACATGGACGATCAGCTCAGCGCCTGGACAAGGCGCCAGCTCCCCGACATTCCAGTTCCTCCAATGGAAAACGCTTTGGCAAAACCCGCACCCAGTTCAGACCCCAGCGGCACCGGCTGCTACTGCACGGTTCCAGTGACTAGACTGACCCCGGCAAGCCCGCAGAGGCGGCCCTGGTTCCTGTGAGCAGGCCCAGCCACCCCAGGCCAGGCCCAGGACACGGCCGCCCCGAGC